ATAAGGCCGTTCTCCCGTGTGTGTCCTTTGGTGCATTATAAGATTGGAGCTGCGGCTGAAAGTCTTCCCACAGTCACTGCATGTGAACGGTGGCTCCGTTGAATGGGTCCTCTGGTGCCTACTAAAATTTAATATCTGGTTGAAGCTTCTCCCACAGTGAGGACAGATGTAGGGCTTCTCTTTTGTATGGCTTTTTTGATGTGCAATGAGGTGGGTGCTCTGAACAAAACTTTTCCCACACTTGGTACAGGTAAAGGGTCTGTCTCCTGTGTGGAGCTTCTGGTGCCGAACAAGGTCAGACCGACGACAAAATGTCTTCCCACAATCAGTGCATGTGGTTTTTCTCTTGAGTATATGTTCCCCTGACACTCCAGTTTTGCTTAGTTCCAATGAGCCCTTCAAGCGGGGGGAAAACCTAGCCCTGCCTTCCTCCACGACGACTTGCTGCTTAACTTCTTTGCCTGTGGTCAACATTTCATCCATGTCTGGAAGAAGAAAATGCAGACACAGGACATTATTTTCCCAGCATTCTGGAGGGGAATTATTACGTCAATTGGTACAGCGTTTGCTTGAGATTGGATTATAATTTAGCTAGGTGTATGGGCACATGGCAGATTATGTTGGTGTTCTTGGGAGTAAGGGAATGGGACTGTATCCAAGAGGAGTCATAGCTCAGTTCAATCCCTGTCATTTCCAGTTAAAAGGATTAGGTAGCAAGTGAAGTGAAAAACCTCGCCCTGAGCCCCTGGAGATGACAGACCAATGGTCTGATTCGGTATAAGATAGGTTCGTGATTTTAAAAAGTGTTAAGGGAAAACTAATTTGTGTTAACTGATGTCAAGTAAATACACTTAAAGACCAGGGGTCATTTCCTGCAGGCGCGCACAGGAGCGGAGCTCCGGCAGTAAAGAGCCCAGGGGGCGGGCACATGCAACAAGCCCCACCCCCTGCTCCCAGCAGCCCTCAGTCAGAGCAAGAAGCAGCCAGGTAAGTTGCAGAGCCCCCCCGCCCCCCCAGTCCAAAACAGTCCAGTGGCACCTTTAAGACCAAGTTTTATTCAGGTACAAGCTCTCCCTCCTCTGCGAGGACAGATCTGCCCGTGGTCCCCCCCCCCCGATAGCTAGCAATCCAAAACGGTCCAGGGGAGCCTGAGTGGTGGGTGTTACCTCCTGACACACTTCCGGTGAGGTCAGGGGGTGTGGCATATGCAAATAAGTTACACTAATGAGTTATGCTAATGAGCTCCTGCACCTCTTTTTCTATGAAATGACCCCTGTTAAAGACATTTCTTAAACAAAACCCACTTATAAACTATTTTTTATTGTTAGCTTTTGCTGCTTGTAGGGCTGTGGTGGCTCAGAGGTTAAGACGCTGAGCTGCAGACCAGAAGGTCTCTAGTTCAGCAGTTCAAGACCCTAGTGCTGCGTGATGGAGTGAGCTCCCGTCTCTAGCCCCAGCTCCTGCCAACCTAGCAGTTCAAAAGCAAGAAATTGCAAGTAGATAAACAGATACCGCTTTGGTGGGAAGGTAACAGCGTTCCGTGTACCTTGGCGTCTAGTCATGCCGGCCACATGACCACGGAGAAGTCTTCAGACAGCACTGGCTCTTCGGCTTGGAAACGGAAATGAGCACCACCCCCTAGAGTCAGATTCGACTGCCTTTTGAGCAAGGGAAACTGTTACCTTTACCTTTACAGCTTGATCTCCATGCTTAGAAAAAGCACATAGAGCTTTTCTGCCTTGCATGAAGAGAAAAAAGCCAGGGGAAAAAGCTGGTAGGCTAGAACCATTTATCCTGCTCTGCTGGCTTTCTCAAACAGCAAGCCCTCACCCTGCATGGCAAACCACTTTCAAAACAGATGAGTTTCAGGACAGTTTGTGACATGACAGAGGACCCCCATTCAAACAAGAAAATATTTTTCAAAAAGCCATTGTAAATATGCAGTTCCTTGCATTTGCAAAGTATCATTCTGGATCCCAGCCAAGGAACAATTCAAACATCTGGTCTTCTGCTAGCATCCTGAATTGTTAGAAGCCCTGGAAAGGCTGAACCAAATGTGTGAATAAGCCTTTAGGTCATTTGCCCACACAATGCTAAGAACTGGCTTTACACAGCTCTTGAGCTATTTGTAAGTACACAGCAATGCCATGTTAGTCTATAGGGGTCTGGCATTTGAATGTAAATGGCAGAAGCACTAAGTTGCAACAAGGAATCTGCAGTTCATTCAGGATGAATATTATTCATGCAGGTGGCCTCGGGAACCATCACCATAGCTAAGCTGCTGTGCAGAAAAATGTGAAAACACCAGTATGTGCCATCTTGGGGCAGTGGGGTGGGCAGAAAAGACACAGATTACCTTAATAGTTAAGCCAGTCATGTTTTTATACAGAGAGCATAAATCAGGCAGGTGAGGTGCATTTAGCATTCTAAAGGGCCAACCCGTGCAGCAGATGGCACCCAGCAAAAGACAATGGGAACTGCATCTCCTTCCTAACACGCCATCATATGGATACACAAAAATCCACTTCTAGTTCGGTACTGTCGACTCTGAACAGCGCTGCAAGGTTTCAGGGAGAGAGGGGGCTTCCCCACGTCCCTAATGTTTTAACTGTCTGGAGATGCTACCTGTTAAACCCACACTCGTCTACCTGCATCGCTTGCATGCTACAACTGAGCCATAGTCCCTCCCTCTAGGGATGTGGCTCCCCCTACAGAAGATCCTCGAACCGCCCCCCTTCAGTGCACAGTCACTTCCCCACCGGCTCTGAACCCTCGCCTAAAATGCTTCTTCAAGTTAATGGCTGCCGCGGCGAAGGGAAGGAAGGAAAAACACCCCGCACCAGTTCTCACCTCGGTCGGGCATCGTGTATCCGGCAGGAAGCCCCGCGCCTCGGCTTCCTGCCTCGTTTTCAGAAGGGCAGGCAGGGGATCCAGCTACCATTTAGTTTCCATTCCGACTTTTGAGCGTAGGGTTTCTAAAAAAGCTCTGCCCAAGAAGCTCAGTAGCCGAACAGGGGAGAGAGGGACTCGAGCGGTCTTCCTTCCTTGGGAAATAAACGGAGCCCTCTGCTGGTGGCAGACTGGCTGTAAAATCTTGTGCCGGACAAGTCTGATTTTACGGGAGAAAAATAGTTGTCGAGCAAAAGGCAGTGGGCCATTAGAAGGCCAGGTTATCGTATTTTGAAAAGCATAAAAGAGGACATGTTTCCCGACTGACTACTTCAAATAAGTGATGATCACTATGACAGATCTCATCATCTCACTATGACAGATCTCAATCCTAAAAGAAATCAACCCTGACTGTTCCCTGGAAGGTCAGGTACTGAAGCTGAAGCTCAAATACTTTGGCCACCAAATGAGAAGGGAACATTCACTGGAGAAGACACTGATGCTGGGAAAGACTGAAGGCAAAAGAAGAAGGGGAGGGCAAAGGATGAGATGGTTAGACAGTGTTATCAAGGCAACGAACATGAAATTAAGCAAACTCTGGAGCACAACGGAAGACAGGAGGGCCTGGAGCGATGTGGTCCATGGGGTTGTGAAGAGTTGGACTTGACTGTGTAACTGAACAACAACAACAACAATTTACAGTAGAGAAGAGTAAGAGTCCAGTAGCACCTTAAGACTAACAAAATGAAGGTGCTACTGGACTCTTACTCTTTAATACTGCTACAGACAGACTAACATGGCTACCCATCTTGATCTAACTCTACTAGTTAAACTGTGATAATTGCTACTAACTAGGAATATCTCTTACCTTCCAACTCAAAAACAGGACATTTTCATCCTTTTTTAAAAGAGCCCAAAAGAGGACAGAAACCAAAAAGAGAGAACATGTCCTCTAAAAAGAGGACATCTGGTAACCTGTGGCCAAGGCCTGGTGGAAGGGAAGGGAAAGGAGTTTGTAAGCCGCTCTGAGACTCCAAGTGAAGGGCAGGGTATAAATCCAATCTCTTCTTCTTCTTCTGGTGAACCCATGAAGTAGAATGAGATGGGGAAATCCTGACCTACCTGAAGGGCTGACATCCTTTTGCAGGTGGAGCATATTTTTATTTAAATATGGTCTCATGTTTAAAGTGCACCCACCCAAGTTCTGTACAAGTATTCCTCCAGTATATATAATTCTATTTTGGTCATGGACTCCCCTGAACATTCCAACACGCTCCAAAATCAGTTCGCTCTCTGATCTGTCATTCAGAGGGTCTCCCTATCCACTGGCTGCTTTGCCTGAGTCCTGCCTCCAACATTTTAAGCAGTTTGCTGTTCCTCTCCCCCCACAGCCAATCAGAACACAGAGGTCATTTGCATATGTGGCCTGATTCGCCTTTGCCTTGGAACACAGAGGTCGTTTGCATATGCGGCCTCACTGGCCTTTCCCTCTAACATTCTAAACAGTTTGCTGTTGATGTTCTGAGGTAAAATAAATTTCCCCTTAGTGTCTGTTGGGGGAAACCATGGTTGCAAATCTCCAAGTGAGGGCTAAAGATCACTCAGAATTACAACTGCTTTCCCGATGACAGAGATCAGTTCCCCTGGAGAAAATGGTGGACTCTGTGTCCTTATATCCTGCTGAGATGGCCCCTGTATGACAGCCAATGTGACGTAGCAGTCAGGGCTTCAGCTATTAAAACTGATGTCCAGATGACCCAGATCAGTTCTCTTGGAGACAATGGCTGCTTTGGGCAAAAATATGTAATCTTTCCTTAAAATCTGCCTCCATTCCTGAGGACTGGAAGGTAGCTAATGTCACTCCCATCTTTAAAAAGGGTTCCAGAGGAGATCTGGGAAATTACAAGCCAGTCAGTCTGACGTCGATACCGGGTAAATTGGTGGAAACCATTATTAAGGAAAGAATTAGTAGGCA